GACTGAGCCACCCAGACGCCCCTAAAAAAGTTATTTTTCATAAAATTTACATTAAATTGATATAATCTCCATACACAAAGAGACTCTTTGGGGTCCAATAATTTTTCAAGAGTGTAGAAGGGGGTGCCTGGCTGGCTCAGCTGGAAGAGCATACGACTCACAGGGTTGTGAGTTCGAGCCCCACGTTGGATGCAGAGATTACCTAAATAAATAAAACTAAAAAAAAAAAAAAAAGAGTATAGAAGGGGTCCTAATGGTAGAAACATTTGCCCACTCAATAATTTTTCTGGTGTGGAGGGGAAGGCCAGTGATGGGTGGAGTGAGACAGAAAGGACATTTTCTCCAAGAGCTTATTAGACAGTCACTCTGTCTCTTCCAGGTGAGCCTTGAAGAGATGTGTTGTGGGGTACTGAAGCCATGGGAAGATAGAAATCGAAAACATCATATATATATTCAAATAATCATGGCTCCATACATTAATGGGCAGGAGGCAGAATTTATTTATTTTTTAAAAGATTTTTATTTATTTATTAGAGAGAGAGAGAAAGAGAGCATGAGCAGAGGGGAGGGGCAGAGGGTAAGAGAGAAGCCGATTCTCAGCTGGGCAGGGACCCTGACGCGGGCCTTCATCCCAGGACTCTGAGATGACCTGGGGCTCAATCCCAGGACCTAGATCATGACCTGAGCCAAAGGCAGATGCCTAACCCGATGGAGCTGCCCGGGCGCCCCCAGGAGGCAGAATTTAAATGAAAACTTTTAAGCTAAATTAAAAGACTTCAGATAAATTCGGAACCTTGTGGCAGTACCTGTACCATATTCTGGAGATAAAAAACCGCCTTCGGTGCATTTAGGGGAGGGGGTTCCTCTGTAGGAGACAGGAATCTTAAGAGGAAACCGAGATGTTCAAACTCTTATTGACCACGAGGGGGCGCCAGAAGCAAAGAGAATTCTTGCTTCCCCCTTTTGAAGATTTATTCTGCAAAATGTTTTAGGCGTGGGGGGAGCTTATTTTGAGAGGTTGAGCTGGGCTGACAACATATGAGTTTTCCGAGGAGACTGCTCAAAAAATGACAGAAACCAGGGCTCATTCCAGATTATTTTAAGAAGGTGTGAGGTCCAGGAAGAAGCTGTATTTTAAAAAAACTTCCCCCAGGGGGTGCCTTGGTGGCCTAGTGGGTTGAGCCTCCAACTCCTGGTTTTGGCTTGGGTCTGATCTCAGGGTGGTGGGATCGAGCCCCATCTCGGGCTCCGTGCTCAGTGCAGAGTCTGCTTGAGAGTCTCCCTCTCACTCCATTCGTTCTCTCTCTCAAATAAATAAATAAATCTTAAAAAACACCAAACAAAAAACCCTCCCCAGAAGGTGCTGACGTGCAGCAAGGTTTGGGAACCACAGCTGTTGGGGGCCCATTTGGAATCTCCGCTAGCTGAGGGCCTCCTAGCGCTCACACCTGACTGTCAACACGGCTCCTCCCGTCTTCTCTGCGAATAAGGGGGCAGACGTTCCCAGTGCTGAAGTGGGAGACGCCAGGCTACTCTGCCCACCAGCGGGGCGCCGGGGGCACACAGAGCCAGGCCGGTCCCAGCTCCTGGCTGGGCACAGTTCCTCGGTCCCTGGTTTCTTCATCTGAAGAGTGGGAGAGCGACGGTGCCCACTCCTCAGATGGCGCTTGTGACCGTTATGTCTGGCATCTGCGTGCGTGTGAGAGAAGCACGCTCAGCCCAGAAGCACCCCTGTGTTCTGGGCGCCAGTGCCCTCCCAGCAAGGCCCCGGGGACTCACTGGTCTCTGTTGGGAGCTTTCCTCAGCTGGTCGGCAGTGACCCTCCAGGAGAAGTTAAAAAACCTCATGGCGTTCTCAAAGTAGAGGTCCGGGACTGCGGTGTACTGGCCGAGAGGAAGCAGAGGTTCGGGATGAGAGCGCGCCCGGGCTGGGAGGCCCCTCGGCTCCTCACACGCAGACCCCTTCTTCTAAAGCCGAGGAAGCTCAAACCCCACAAGGTTAAGGGACTGGTCCACAGGTCAGAGGCCGGAACGGAAGGCGCGGGACCGCAGGCTTGGGTTCTTGCCGTGGCCCTGACCTTGCTGGGGCCTGGCACCCTCTGCCGTTCAAGGACACACTGAGAGCTTCACGGGGCTGCTCGGCACACACCAGTGTCACAGGCCCGCAGCAGTGCCTGGGCCTTAGACAACAGACAAAGTCCTGTCCGACAGGACTTTCTGTGATGATGGATGTGTTCTCTGCCTGTTACCCAGTATGGCAGACGCCAGCCACACGTGGCTACTGAGCATTTCAAATGTGGCTGGTGTGACTGTTAAATTTAGATTTTAACTAATTAAACAGCAGTGGTCAGTAGCTACCACACTGGATAGCACACGAATCAAGCTGGGGTCTAGCTCTGAAATGTCAGGGGACAGGCATCACCGCACGCCTTCCTCAGCACTCAGCCCAGCCTTTCGGCTCTTTTCAGGGGCATGGTTCTCCCTCAGATCCACTCCAGAGCTTTCTGGCTTCTCATCAGAGCTCTGGTAAGATGCTGGGCCCTTGGGGACAGGACTCTGATCCTGTAGGCTGTGCCTGTGCTGTCCCCAGGAGTCTCCGGGTCTTGTGTCGTGACACCCCGGAGCATCTTAAATTATCCTCGAGGAAAAAGGCTGCGGAATGAGTCAGTCCTGTATTCTCGGAAGTAATTTTAATATTCTTAGGTTTTAAATAGAGCCATGATGAGGGGTTATTATAATTGCAAAAATGCCTGTATTTCACAAATTTCAATCACAAGAAGATATAAAACTATCTTTCAGGGCAGAAGCACAATCCGTTTATGGGGATGACCTGCCGAAAGTTCTAACCACCAGGAATATATCAAGTACCCTTGTTGCCTCAATTAAGCTTAAACGCGCATTTGGGATTCACGCCCCCTTTTTCCCATTAGCATTTGGAGGTCCAAATGAGGTCCAGGTTTCTCTGGGAAGGTGGGGGAAGACCCTGGGCAGAGGAGGCAATCTGGGGGGCCGGGAAGGAAGAGGTGGTATGAGGGGCTCCATTCCTCACTCTGCCTCCTGCTGTTTTAGGGGCCTTCATTCTGTCTGTCCCTCCTAGGGTCTGCTCACCTCCATTATTTCCCCCCATTAAATGGTGCATGCAGCAGGGCACATGGCACCGTTTGGTCCTGACTGCTGGGCACTGACAGTGGCTCTGGGAGGGGCAGGGCCTCCAGCAGGCCCAGGAGAGAAGGGGCACAGAACAGCCCCCTCGCGCCTGGTCCATCCCCACACCCCACACCGACGTATCTGGAGATGCCTTGACGGTCAAGGTACCTCTCGCATCCCACCCGGACCCAGCCTGCTTCTGCTCTTCCCCAGGTGGGGACCTCAGGGACATTCGGGAATGCAAGGGGGCAGGGTGGGAGCCACTCACGTCATTGAACACTTTGTCGAGCTCCTTGGGGTCCATGATAAAGTTGGGGTAGCCTATCATGTTGTAGATTGCGTCTGCCTGGACAGGAAAGACACAGAGGACACTGAGTGCCCAGCGGGCCTGGCTGGGCTCAGGCTCTGGGCCAAAAGGAAATGGGCAGGTCCTCCCCCTCGGGGCTTCTGCATCTCTTCCTGGAAAGATCCCCTTCTTGCCTGACTTCTACTTACCCTTTGGGTCTCTGTTTCCCTCCTGAGGGAAGCCTTTGCTGGCAGCCACCCGCTGGACTATATCAGATCCTTCTTTCTCCGTTAGACATGTCACAGCTCCCTGCATTTTTCCCTCACACTCAACATGGCTTATTTTTATATTGTCATTAATGCAATCGTGTGTTCAAGGCTGTCCCTCCACCCTGCTGGAATATTCACCCCCCAAGGCAGGACAGCATCCCTGCTGTGCTCCCCAGATGTGACTGGTCTCGCTTCAGGCACCCCCTCCATCTGTGGATTCAGCCCTCTAGGTGGGAAGCCTCAGCCACCCCTTCCGGCACCGGGCCAGCCTCACCTTTTCCTTGGCTGATCTCCGAGTGTCTTCATCCATCCACTTCAGGGTGCTCAGGCTTTCCTCAAACGCCTTCTTAATCTCTAGTATTATCTCGCTGGCCTGAGGAGACAGAAGCTTAACAGTGAGGTCTGGGCACTGGATGGGCACCCCATGCGGAAGGAGGCCAGAGTCTAAACTCAGGAATCAGCTCAAAGCTTCAGGCTCCTCAGGGCCCAGAACACTTAAGTCCTGCAAAACAAGACTGGACTTCCATAAACAGAGCATCAACACCACAGAAACTGAGGACAAGGAGTGCTGGAAAAGTCTCTCCTCTGCAGGACTTTTTCAGAGACTTTATTGCATAACACGAACTTCGATCCTTTTGGAGAGTGTAAAATTCATAGCCTTTCTCAGACTTACTGGATCACAGGATCCCTTTTCGATGGAATGGGCTTTAAAATCTAGAGAACCTGAGTTCTGACAAGCAGTTTCAGGCAGGAGATGAACAGCTGTTCTTGAGGTCAATAACGTCAGAGGCAGACTCAGAGCCCAAAGATTCTAGAGCAGAGGAAGGAAGTCACACAGCAGAAAGAGTAGAAGTGCTGATGGCCAACAGAACTAGACAAAGATTCTGTATCAGTCACTCACAGGAGAGTCGCGTAAGGAAAGTGAGTCTTTGTTTGCTAACGTTTGACTGCAGATAATACCTACATAATTAAAATTAGTAATGAAAACTGTAACAAAAATATAATAGCTACCATTTGCCGAGCTCTTGTTTTCTGCCAGGTGTTCTCTGTGTGTAGCATTTCTTTTCTTTTCAAAGATTTTATTTATTTATTTGACAGAGAGAAAGAGAGCGAGCACAAGCAGGGGGAGCGGCAGGCAGAGGGAGAGGGAGAAGCAGGCTCCCTGCCGAGTGGGGAGCCCGATGCAGGGCACAATCCCAGGACCCTGGGATCATGACCTGAGCCAAAGGCAGATGCTTAACCAACTGAGCCACCCAGGCCCAGGCATTCCATGTGTAGCATTTCATTTCTTGTCCTGCTACAGGATGGACAGTCCCGCTTCCAAGTCAACAGCAAAGGGAGAAAACTGTCCCAAATCACCCAACCAGGAGGTGATGGACCCAGGATCTGAACTGGGGCCTGGCTGTCTTCGTGCACCTGGCCATGATGTTCCTCTGCCTGTCCAGACACGGGGTTACCCCCTGGGCTAAGAAAGATGTCACCCGTTAGGGCAGAGCTGCTCTGCCAACAGGATGTTGCTGGGCCCTTCGTTTTCCTCGGGGGTGGAGGAGGAGATGGCAGGAGTGGCCTTGCAACCTTAGTGATAATGTGGCTTAAGTGCCCAGCACTCAGTGATAATAGCTCACAGCAGTCAGGGCTTTAGAAAACAGGACCTTTGGGCGAAGGCTGGAGCCCTGGCCTGGAGTAGGAAAGGTCCAGAGCAGCCCGGAGCGTGGGCAGCCAAGTTCACGAGGGGCTAATGCAGGTGCACCGTCACAAGGGGAGGTACTCACTATGCTCTTGCTGTCCTCGGCAAAGGTCGCTTTGACAAACATGGGGCCCAGGGCAAAGCCCAAGTTGTTCTCTGTGTCGCTCACGCAGAACTTCCACCGAGGAAGACAGGTCTGGGAACACAAGGGAGAGGGGTTACTGGGCCCCGTCCTTCTTCCCAACCCCTGTCCATCTGGGAGGAAGCAGCCAAGAGCTGGGGCCCGTGCTTCCTTCCAGAACCTCAGGGAGACTTTTCTGATGCAGTGGGGGAAGTTATTTTAGGCACTGGACCAAGAGGCTACAGAATATTGCTCATCGCCGCCATCTACTATTTCCTGAATGCCAGCCTCTATGCGCAGCACTTCACGAATGGTGTCTCACCGGGCCATCAGAATGATCCTGGCAGGCAGGGCCGTGGGCCTTGCCAGATGAGGACACAGACAGACACTCAGCAAGGGGAAGTCACCGGTCCAGGGCCCCCCGGCGAGCGGGGGGTGTGGCAGTGATGAGACTCTGACATGCCTGACTGCACACCCCACGCCCCCACCCTACCCTACCCTACTCCCTGGGGGAGGCGGCGGATGGTGGTGTCAAAGACTTGAGAAGTTACCTTGTCTACCCTCGGGCAACAGGAAACCCATCCCAGAAGGCCAGGACCCAAACCCCATTGAAAGCGTCCCAGAGGAAGGGGCTGAGATGTCGTGGTCACCCGTGGTCTCGCCCACCAGCCCGCCCGACACCTCTGCGGAGCTGGAAGCGGGCACCCTGCGGGCTGCCGCCTCATGGAGCGGCGCTCCGGGAAGCGCACCCACGCGGGTTCCTGCCCCCCCCCCCCCCCCCGGCTCCCCTGCCCTCCGTGACCACCAGGGGTGGCCCTGCTCCCGGAAATCCCTAAATCCCTGGAAATCCCTAAATCCCTCGTGGGGCCTCCTGACCCCGAAGAACAGGTGGTAAAAACCACCAGGCTCAGGGCAGCCTGCTTCAGAACAGTTTTCCAACTGAAAACAACCAAATGCCCACCAACAGGCGGCTGGATAAACAAAATGTGGTATTTTTATACAACAGCGCACTACTTGGCAACAAGAAGGAGTGAATTACTGATACACACAACATGGCTGAATTTCACAGCCATTAGCTGAGAAGCCAGACGCACAAGAGCACACGGCGCATAATCCCGCCCCCGCCCAGCCGCACCCACCCGGGGACCTTCTGCTCCTAGGACGCTGGATGAACGCGTGACAGGAGTGTCTCTACCTGGAGTGGGCTGTCAGTTTTGTGGGTGATCTCCTTTGTCCAGGGGAACACATTTCCTTTGTGCACTGAACTGGGTACTTAGTGTACACTGCACATTTTACAGTATGTAAATTACACCTTAGCTAAAGAAATTTCTTCCATGAAAGAAGGGAAGGAAATAAAGGGCATCTCAGCCTTCCCTAAGTTTAGCAGCCCAATTCTTTTAAGCTCTCCCACCCATGTGTCCGTTTAGACGCCCTCCCCTCCCCACAACCTGCCCACATCTGGCTGAGGCTGCCCACGCAGGAGGTCAGGACCGGGGGACCTTGAACTCACGGGCTCCGTGGGTGTCCCAGGCCCTGATGGCTGAGTCAGGAGCCGAGTCTCACTGCCTTCTCAGGAGAGCTTTTGCATAAGCCCACGCACTCCTCATTCATTCATTCGTTTGTTCGTTCATTCATTCACATGTCCAGTGCCTTCTGGAGAGTTGCTCTGCACCTGGATTATGCTAGGTGTTTGGAACCTCGAGACAAATTGGCCATGGGCCTTGCCCTTGAGGGGCTCAGTGGAAACACCGAGAACACCCAGTGGGAGAGACAGACACATAATAACAGCAACGGTAGCAGTGACAGTAGTTCGTGCTTGCGGAGTGTTTACCGGGTGCGGGCCCTAGCCCATATAATCCTCCTAATAACCCCATAAAGCAGGTACCCCCTGTGCTCCTGTTTGCAGATAAAGAACATAGCTTGGAGTGCTTTAGCCTTTGGGACAGACTTTTGGGGATCCCTTCGTGTAATCCCAGACAACCCCCGGTCAGCAGGCTAGGGATTAGTTACTCCTTTTTACACTTGCGAAGACTGAGCCCTCTGCTCCAATGAAGTGATTTGCCTAAGGTTGTGTGGTTAGAAGAACCATTTCAAACACAGATCTTCTGACCCAAAGTTCTGTGCTGTTTCCTTAAACCATGCACGGGGCACACAGGGACTCAGGCCCATAGCCCCCCACCTCTAGGGTCTCCTAATTGCCCTTGCTTCTGCCAAGGCCTCCCTGCCAACTCCCACGGCCTCCCACTGGTTTGAGCAGCACCCCTGCACTCTGATCTTGGCCCAGGGAAGCTCGCTCGCTCGCCCTATCTATCTATCTATCTATCTATCTATCTATTATAGGAAAATATATGTAAGATTTACCATTCTAACTCTTTGAAGTGTATAGGTCAGTGGTGGTAGGCATATTCACACTGCTGTGCAACCAATCTCTAGAACTTTTCATCTTGCAAGTGTGAACCTCCATACCTACTAAACAACTCCCCATGCCTGCCTCCCTGCCCCCACCCCCTGCAACCACCAGGAAGCTCAATGTTAACTTCTCGATCCTACAGAGCAGAGGCTGAGTGGGGTAGGGCTCCTGTGGGGGCTGTGGAACCAGACGTGCTGGGATTGAAACCACACTCCCCACTTAAGAGCTGTGTGAATTTGAACAAGGCCCTTCCCTTCACAGAGCCTCGGTTTCTTCATCTATAAAATGGGCTGATGATAATAGTCCCTAACATAGAGCTGTTATGGAAACTTGCTGACATAATGCCTATAAAAGGCAAACATCTAATAATAATACCTTTTATTATCATCATCATCATTAGTGAGTGGCTGAAAGTGCCGAGTAGTCATGGTCATCCAGAGCTGGGTTTGAATTTGAGCTTGGCTGCCTCCTTGCTAGGTGACCTGGGAAGCCCTTCGCTGCCCGGAGCCTGTTTGCCCGTCTGCACCCGGGTGGGTAAGCAAAGAGGCAGGTGCACACTCCACACACAGCAGTGTCTCTGTAACTACCATCCCGGGTCCTGCTCACACTCTTCCCGTACAAAGTCCCCTGGGAGGCCATGTGCTCCAGAGGACAGAGTCCATGCCTTGTCATGTCTGTGACCCAGGGCTCACCTGGGCCCGGCCCACGGTGGGTGCAGGGGGAGCAGGAAGGCAGGCGGCTCTCGTGGCTGAGGCCCCGTGGTGCCCTCAGAAGCCGCTCTTATTCCCAGCCACACTCTCCCTCAGTCCCCTTCCTGCCACAGGTGGGTGTACATGGGGATGGGACAGAAAAGGGGAACTCTTCGCAGGATGGACCCCGGGACCGGAGGCAGGAGCCCTATCATTCTCTGCCAGTCTTTATCTGGCTCTGTCCCCGCCACTGGACTCTGGGAAGGGCCACAGGGGCGGGGGCAGGCTAGGGCCAGCTCTGCCTGTCCCCTGGGGTCTGGCTAGCTGCCATTCTGGGTGGGGCAGGGTGCACTGGGCGGGCTTGGCACCCCTGCCTCCACTGCTCTCTTGCTGGGGCACCCCACTGGGGCCCTGACTTGGTGTGCCCCATCAGCACATCTGAGGACCTCTTGCAGGGGTGTGGACCCTTGGGGCACAGACCCCACCTCACTTGTCTCCGTGTTCCCACATGGGACTCCTGTCCTGTCTGTTGGCTGCACGAATGAGAGGGGACAGTCACCTTCTTGGAGAAAGAGTGAAGTGGCCCGGGAGCTTCCTATCTGGGGTGGGGTCCCGAGGGAGGGAGTGAGGGTCCTGGAGCCCTGGGACCTCTGGAAGAATGGACTGCCAGGTCATGGTGGGGGCATCTGAAGGAGAGTGGAGACCACCTGGTCAGCCTAAGAGGGTAACAGCCGGGAGCATCTGTGCAGTCTTACCATGAACCAGGGGCTACACCAAGGGTTTTGTGTTTATGGGGAAGGAGCAGTATGACTGGGGGTCCCCTGTATAAAACAGGGGTGATGATCACATCCAGCTCACAGGGATATGAAGATCACATGAGTTAGAGGAAAGTGTTTATTATCAACATCATTGAAAAGGGGTTGGAAGAGAGAACAGAAGGCACCTTTTGCTGTAAAGAAGCTAAATCTCTAAGATTCCTCTTTTTTTTAAAATTTAAGTAACCTCTACACCCAACTTGGGGTTCAAACTCGTGACCCCGAGATGCATGCTCTTCCAACTGAGCCAGCCAGGTGCCCCTCTAAGACTCCTCTTTACCCAGTAAGACCCAGCGTAATCATTTCCTTCTGGAAGCTTCTGTTCACCTCCAACTAGCTTAGATCTAGCCCTTGTGCCCAGGGACATCCGAGTGGACCCCTTCAGAGGCCCTCTCCATTCTCTGCCTACCCTCTACCTCCCTCACAAGTTCCACGGCTCTGGGGGACACCGAGGTCGCAAGAGCCTCCAACCCAGGGCCTGGCACACAGTAGGTGCTCAGCAGGTGAAAGGGAATGCACTGGAACAGGCTCACCTTCTTGGTCCCATACATGACTTCCATGAACTTCTCGTCGGCATCCTGAAAGCGCTGATCAAGGAAGGAACTTGTCTTCCGTACCAGGTTCCAGATCATGTAGTTGTTTAGCAGGCTGGGGCAAGAGGAGATCAGACAGCTCAGAAGGGCCCAGAGCGGGGAAGCATCACAGCACTTCCCAGGCTGACCTTTAGGGGGCGCTCAAACCTGGCCTTTGGATCGCAGGCTCTTCCCGGCCCCAGTTTGATGGGTTACTGCTCACTAAGCACACAGAATGTCAGCTCTTCAAGGCAGAGCCTGGGTCCTCTCTGAACACCCCTCGGTGCCTAGTGCAGTGACTTGTGTTTGTCACATAGCTGCCTCTTGTCTGGGAGCCGTGAGGCAGCATGGAGACTGGGGTGTGCTACTGGGCTGGAGCAGGGAGGAGCTCCGAGATGTCCCAGCCAGAAGGCCAGAGATGGGGGGGGGGGCTCAGAACAGGAGGGGCAGGAAAGTGAGCTCACTGCCCCCTCCCCTCAGGGCCCAGAGAATCATCCGTGCCTATTGCCACCTTTGCAAGGAAATCACCTTAGCACCAAGAGGGGCTCACAACAGTGAACATCTAGCCTCGAACTGGAACCAACCTAAATGTGTGACAGTAGGGGTAGGAGTGAGTCCATAATCACACGTATACTTGATGGAAGGATGCAGGACCAATGAGGTCCACAGGGAGTGCGGGGTAACATGGGGAAAATGCTTTTGATGAAGGTCAAGGAAAAAGCAGATTACCCATGTGGTCACAAGGATGGGGACAAAAAGGACCCACGTATTAGAAAATTCACCTCCCTCTCTCTCTCTCACACACATACACACACACATATACACTTTCTCTTCTTTACAAACACACACATACACACCCCATAGAATCAACAGTAGTGTCTGGGTAATACTAATTTTTTCCTATTTTGTCTGTAGTTTTCAAAAACCTCCACAACAAATCTTTAAAATTATTTAAAAAATCATAAATAGTACCTACAAATATCAGCGAACATCGAGCCCCATTCCGTGTCATTCCCTCACTCGGTTCTCACATCCTCACAGGGTAGGTGCTATTTCCATCCCCAGTTTATGACAGGAGCCTGAACCCGAGAAAGGGCGAGAGACTTGCCCAAGGCTACAGAGCTGGTGGGCGGAGGGGCTGGGATCCGAACGGGCTGCCTCTCCCCAGAGCCCACTCCCCTGAGTCAGTCTGTCCCCCACTGCCCCTGCCCGTCTGGCCCCGAGAAGAGCAGGGCGGTGTGGGACCCCAAGGGCTGGCTGCGAGAGGCGGGGTGCCAGGCCGCTGGCCGTCCCTTACCATTTGTCCGTGTTGTTGATGAGGGTGGACACCTGCCCCAGGTACTCCTTGTCGTAGACAACAATGGGCTCGGACTCATTGATCTCCACGGGGTAGAAGATGGTGTTGAGAAAGGGCAGCCAGCTGATGGCGGGCGCCAAGGCCTGGAAGGGAAGAGACAGGGTGACTGCAGCTGAGCTGCCTCCAGGGTGCTCTTCCCTAGAAGGCGCCATCGTGCCTCCAAAGAGCTGGGCACCGACAGGGCACCGGGCACTGGGCAGATACCACACTCAGCCTGCCTGGCTTCCATCAGAGATGCTGGAGACAGAACTCTAAGGAGCCAAACACCAACTCCAACTTGCAATGGAGCTGGGACGGAACACAGGGGACACGGGGATGGCAGCAGCAGCTGCCCGTTCATCAAGCCCTCCTGTGCCAGACGCCATTGCAAAGGACTCCCACGTCTTCTCTGAGTTGGACCTCAGGACAGGCCTAGGTGGTAGGTACCATTATCCCCACTTTAGGGATGAAGAAACTGAGTCCAGACAGGCCTATAATGGAGAACTGTGGAGCATCTGGAGCCAAACTGCCTTGGTTCATATTCCAGCTCTCTCATTCGCTGTGTAACCTTGAGTAAGTGGATGAACCTCTCTGTGCCTCGGGGTGACATCTGAAAAGTGGTTGCCTCATCGTAATAGAACTCACCTCGGAGGCTTGGTGTAAGGATTAAACGGGTTAATGCTGTCTGTTCTACTCAGCATGTCCTTCTGTAATACCAATTAGCTTCTATGCGATTTAGTCTATATGACTGCTAAATTCAAGAATGACAGCGGTATAAAGTGTCAACGCTTTGGTCCACAGGTGATTTTTCTCAGGCATGGGATCTGAAAAAGCAAGCTCAGAAGGACAACTTTCAGCAAGAAAGGAAAAGCCCTCAGCTCAGCTGATGCACAGGAAGCTGGTCAATTCCATTTTTTAAAATAAGATTTTATTTATTTATTTATGGGGGGGAGGGGCAGAGAGAGGGAGGGAGAGCGAGAATCCTAAGCAGACTCAGCGCTGAGCTTGTGAAGCCCAATGCAGGGCTCGATCTCCTGACCCTCAGATCATGACCTGAGCCAAAATCAAGAGTCGGATGCTTAACTGACTGAGCCACCCAGATGTCCCTGGTCAGCTCTATTTTAACATAATTTAAAATGAGCGCCTGCCAACGGAGCTCGCCCCCCCAAAGAGGCACTGGCGGGCTTGGGGTACCTCGCAGCTCGGAGCAGCTAGCTTGCTCTCGGCCCACCTAATGGTGGCCCCACTGCCCAGGGCTCATCTGTCTGCAGAGTCTCTGTGTCCACAGCCAGACTTTTCCCTTCCCACCGGGCAGCCTCCACTCACACTGAGCTCTCTCTCCAGGTTCCAATTATTGCTTTGATTACAAACTTGCACAACTTTTGGGTTTAATTGTGATAAGACATACAAACATACAATGTACCCTCTTAACCATTTTTAAGTGCCCAGTCCAGTCCTTAAGTACGTTTACACTCTTGGGCAACCACCACCACCGTCCATCTCCAGATTTCATCTTGCAAAATGGAAACTTACACCTATTAAACAATAATCTCTCCAGCTCCCTCCCCTGAGCCCCCAGGAAGCATTATTCTCCTTTTTGTCTCTGTGAATTTGACGGCTCTAGCTACCTCATATAAATGGAACCATACAGTGTTTGTCTTTTTGTGAGTGGCTTATTTCACTGAGCATCATGTCCTTAAAGTTGCCCAACTTTTGAATCTAATTGTGAGCGTTTATACAATTAACGAGAGCTTCATAAACTGCAGATGACCGGAACTCTAAGTCCTGTTTTTCCCATATGTCTTGTTATTTTTAGTAAATTTCTTGTCCTGTGATTCTCCAGAATGCAGTGTTTTCCGAACTACACACACTGTGTGATACAGCAAAAGTGCTTATCTGCATCAGTCACTTAAATGGTATCTGCTACGTAACAACCACTCAATCCTCAATCGATATTAGCTATTGTCATCATTCTCAAGGTCTCCCAACAGTGGGTCTGGGTTGAACGATTCCAAATTCTGTTCTCAGAGGACAGAGGAGGGCTTCTCCATAACATTTCCGGGGCTGCAAAACGGGGGGCAGTGAGAGACACATTAGACATGGCTTTCAGATGGTAAGATCGATCAATAATGTAAAATCAGGGCGCCTGGGTGGCTCAGTTGGTTAAGCGACTGCCTTCGGCTCAGGTCATGATCCTGGAGTCCCTGGATCGAGTCCCACATCAGGCTCCCTGCTCGGCAGGGAGTCTGCTTCTCCCTCTGACCCTCCCGACCCTCCCCCCTCTCATGTGCTCTCTCTCTCAAATAAATAAATAAAATCTTTAAAAAAAAAAATGTAAAATCAAACCATAACATCAGATGAATCTATAACCTGCTGGTAAATCCCTATGATGTCCTCAGTGAGAGCAGTCATAAAACCCTCCACTTACCAGATACTGACTCCGCAGATGAGCTAAGGTGACCCTTCCTGAGGTCACATAGTTAACCAGTGACTGGGCGTGTCTAATAGCCAGGCTCACCTACCTCTCCGGTTTCAAAGGGCAGCTCAGCTGCTGGGGAGCAAGGACCTCAGAGGACAGAGGAGGGCAGCTCCCACAGGCAGTGACATGCTGGCTCTTGGTGGGGCCGGGGGGGGATGTTTGTGTTCACACCGTGACCCACCGCAAACTACCCACACGGTTGGGCAGAGCAGAGCCCAGTGGGCCCGGCACATCCCGGCCTGCCCGGCAGTAAGATGACCCAACTGAGTCTCGGAGCGAGAAGACTTGGATCAGAGTCCCCACCATGAACCAGTTCTGGGAGCTCGAGCCATTCTGGAGCCTTTCCCTGAGACGGGGACGATAATTCTCTGGCCCCCACCCCCCACGGTCGGCTGCTCTGGACCTCGTGGGGATGGCCTGCTCATCCAACGTGAGCTGCCTCTCTCCCTACCCTAGCCTGTCCATTTGCTCTCTCCTCCTGGCAGGAGCCCCTCAGGCAGGTCAACCTCTGGGGCTTCTCCATAACATTTCCGGGGCTGCAAAACGGGGGGCGGGGGTCCAGGGGAGATAGTCAAATGGGGCTCGGCACGGAGAGACACCTGCTTGCATGACCGGCTAGCAAAGACACCTGGGAAATTCACCAAGTTTACAGAATGTCATTGTTTATGCATTTAATGAGAGCTTTACAAACTGCAGGCGACTGGAACCCTCTGATCAGGGCACAGCCGTCAGGGGGTGATAAATCCCTGTGTACTTAACAGCCTGTTTCTTTAGGCAGAACAGGTGTTCTGTGCAGGTAAAGTCCCACAACCCCAGATAAGGTGCGTGTTGAATACCAGAATGTTCACATTTTCAATCTTGCTTTAGTGAACGCCTAACTTAGACATGTGTGCCTCGATCTGTCTCCATGGAAATGGCTGTTTTAACTGACCAGGACATTCTCCTTGTGACTCAAATCCTTTGGGGCACACCAGTCGGCTCTATTTTCCAGACCTGCAGCCAAAGGGTACTGCTGGTCACCAACCAACCAGCTCAAGTAGGCTTGCAAATAAGAGAAAAGAAAGATGCTATCAGACTTTATCTCAGCTGGAGAATTTAGAGCAGAGAATAGGGCTCATTCCCAAACAACTTCTGATGTGGAAGGTCCTAGAGAGGAAAGAGAAGGTCCTCAGGCCCCTCCAGAGAAGCAACAGAAGGATGTTTGATTCAGGGCTCTGAATTCAGACTCTGCTGAGGGCTAGCCTTGAACCACTCTGTATTCTGGTGGGGCTAGCCATACTGTGAAGGCTGGTGCACCTTTCCTAGAGTCACCTGGGGTATAGGAAGAGAACAAATTTCCAGATACCAGGGAACAGCAAGACAGTCTCTGTCCTAGGTTAGAAGGAATCAAATAAGGTTAAGTGCTGGAGACGTGGGCAGGCATCACCACCAACAAAGGAATAATACTAATGATTACTATAATACGTTTGAATTGTGCATGTCAGTTTATAAAATGAAGTCCCAGGTAGAGATTCATTTGGAGGACAGGGATCCAGGACTTAATCTTTAGATGTTAGACATAATTTTTTATATCTACATATCTACATATGCCCAGTTCCTCTGGGAGACACTTCATAGTTTCCAACTTGTTCTCAAAGAACCCTGTGGCCAGAGTAAAGAACCACTGCCCCTTATGGGGACAGGGGCTGCCCCTCATCTGTCTCTGCGTTCTGGAACACAGCAGGTGTGAAGGAGCGAGCAAAGCCCCATTTTACAAGGAAGGAAGTCGAGGTGCGAAGAGGGGGGTCGTGTGACTTGCCCAGGGTCACACAGCTCATTGTGGGGCTGGGCCAGAACAGTCTTCTGACCCCAAGCCCAGGGCTCGTCCCTCCGCTAATGTCTTCCCCACCCTGGCAGCTCTGCAGTGGGGAGGGAGGAGGGAAAGGGAAAAGCCAAGTGACAGGGTGCCCAGGGGTCGAAGCTGGAAGCCACGCCGGGGCGGAGATGCTCAGGGCTACCGTGTCTTCTCTGCCACTCTTGGGGTAGTCAGCCGGCACCATGGCCGCTGGGGGCGGGGGGCTGGGCGGCCGCGGGGGCCCTTCCTGGGAGAAGCAGGCGGCTCGAGCAAACCAAACTGCATCGCACAAACAGCATCTCCTCCAACTGCTGGGCCTCAGGGCGGAAAAACAGTGCCAGATGGCAGCCAATGGTCTGCTGATCTCTGTAACAACCACACAGCACCGCTCACCCCGATGCCAACTTCTCTGGGAACCTCAGGGGCAGCTGACACCCACAAGCGGCCCTCTTGCCCTTAGCCCCAGCTCTGCCTGGGCTGCCGCTCCACCTGGGACAGCCGGCCAGCCTGGTGACTGCTTACCCACTCATCAGACTCCCCTTCCCTGGCTCCGTCCTATCCCTGTCCTACGGCCCTCCTTTTCCCAAAGCACTCAGCAATGAGTCTGGGATTGTCTGCTCGTTGGTGTGCCTCCCTAGCCTGGAAGTACCTCCAGAGCGAGGCCCGAGGGTGGCCCCATATATACCTGTCAGGGGGAGGGATGGAGGGAGAAAAAGGGTAGGGACCCTAGGTGTTCTTCCTGAAAGGAGAAAAAATGAGCCAACTCAAATGGATGGGCAGGACCTGGCTGGTCAAGGAAGAGCAGGAGGGAGGAGACATGTTGGTGGAACCCCAACACAAGTGGGACACAAGAGGCCTATCATCCTCCCCAGTGGGGAAGCAGGCCTCCCCAGGCATTCCCAGGCAATGGCAGGAAACGGGAAGACTGGCCAAGGTCACTCTGCTGATTCCTCTGTGACCCTGGGGACCTGGGCTAAGACCAGACACCGACACACGGTGAACTGGAAAGATGGAACGGGCAGGGGAGCACCTCAACTCACCACCTGCAAGTCCCAAGGAGCCACCAGGGGGCAGCCTTTGGCTTTGGCAGAGGGGCCACTGGCTTCACCGTTGGGTTACACCCAGTGACAGGGAGCAACCCCATTACACCTCCAGGAGGTTGCCAGGGGCCATGGTCAAGAGCAGAGATCCCATGAGCCAAGCCTGAGTCCAATGTCCAGCTCCCCTGATACTCAGGGAGCCTCAGGGCCTTGAACATGTCACTCAACCTCCTGTTTTGGAAAAGGGAGAAGTGACTACAGAACCCACCCCTCACAGCTATTGTTTGCTGTGCACCGGGCTCAATGTGACTGGGGCTGGGGCTTGAGACTGGAAATGCCCAATCAGTGTGAGCGATTATCATCGTGATAGAGCCTCCCCAGGTAAATGCTGTTATGGAAAAGCTGTGTGGCCTCCAGCAGGTAACTGAATCTCACTGAGCCTCAGTTTTCCCATCTGCAAACTGGGCTAACAACCATCCCTGCTTCATAGGGTTGTTCCGAGGATCTGATGAAGTGGGTACAAAAACCCCAGCCCAGTGCCCTATGTCCTGAAGCCCTGGGCCTGTCCCGGGCTCCATGTTACCTGCAGTTCGGCAGCGGTCACTTTGTGGTAGATGAGCTCCTCGTCCCGGCGCTTCTCTTGGGGGATGGTGATGTTGGCCAGCGCCGTCTCAAAGTCCAGGATCTGTTGCATCTGGGGCCGGATGGCGTCCTCATCCCCTCCACCGAGCAGCTTGCCCAGCTGGACCATGTAGTTCAGGTATCCCGTCAGCACCTGTGGGCCCGGCACCCACTCTATGTCAGTGCTGCCACCCACGACCTACTGGACAAGGGTGGCGGGCGGGGCAGGGCCGGCCCAGCGCAGGAAGCCACTGCCAACCCACTGCAGGGGTGGTCCTGGCTCTAGCACTCAGGACAAAGCCCACACGTCCCCGGCAGGCGGGTCCCTGTGGTCCCGGCCCACACCCCATCTCGGATGCTCGGCACGTGGAAGTTACCAAGAGACCATCTTCCAGTTCTTAGAACACATTTTTTCTGAGCTGCGCTTCTCTACCGTGTCCCCAGATCTGAATTAGGTTGCCGTGTTCAACTTTCTCAGCTCACCCTTGGGCTATCACAATTTGTCACTATGCCTCTTACTGGGTGGTTAGTTAGTTAACGTCCCCCTCCCCTGCTAGACTCCAAGCCCCGTGGGGCGGGGACCATGCCCGTCTTAGTCACAACTATCCCCCCAGCAGTGGGCACTGAGCAGGTACCTGCTCAGTACAAGGGGGCAGATAGTGCAGGGAGAGACGATGAACCTCAGGAGAGGTTTCCCCGGGGCATCGTGAGACGCGTGGGTTTCAGAGTTAGCGGGTCTCGACAAGAATCTCAGCCTCACCACTGTGGGACCTTGAGTGGGTCACTTAGCGTCTCTGAGCCTTGCTCTCTCTCTTCTGTAAAAGGCAAGGTAAAGATAATGCCCACGTGGCAGATGAGGTGAACGAGGTTCAGAGATGTTCTGTACCTGAAGGGTTACCGGGAGGGCCAGAGGTGAGTATATAAGAGGCCTGGCACCCACAAATGACAGCGGCCATTACTGTTGTCTTGCTCTGACACCTGTCCCTGCCTCTTGTGCCCACAACGCCTGAATGTGAAACAGCCAGCCGGAGGTGGGGGGGGGTCCCCTCCCCTGCCAGGGACTGCCCAGCACCCACCAGGTAAGTGACACCTCTGTGCAACTCCAGCTTTGAAGACCCACACAGGCGTGGGCACTGAGGGGACATCAACGGGGGAAAACGTCGTGGGGTGTGGGCCGGGAGCCACTGCCTCTGAATCACACTCACCTTCTCATTTTCAGTTTTGTTCAGGTAATAGTCCCTTGAGGGTAAGCCCAGGCCGGACTGGTCCACCTGGAGGGAGGAAGACAGGAGTGAGGGGGCGCTCCCGTCACACGTGTACACGGTCCGCTGTGGGGACAGCCGGTACATGGCAATGCGGGACCAGCCTGGCCCCAGCAGAAGCAGAAGCTGGTTGCGGAGGCCCCAGGGTGGGGACAGGCACATGCCTGGTTGCATACCTGCCCAAGCACAGGGATTCTGGGCCCTTCCGAAGGGTCAGAGCCACCTCCTCACCAAGCCCCTCCTAGGCTTGGCACCGTGCCTCCACTTAACAAAACAGTTCCCAAGATGGTGCAGTGGTTAAGAGCTACTCACACCCGGCATAGCCTTAGTCAAGTTACCGAAGCTTTCTGATCTTCCGGTTCTTTCTCTGGAAAATTGGGGAACTAGAATCTCACCCTCAGAGCTGGAACGAGGATTCAAGGAGACATTGCTAGGAGAGGATGTGCTGAGGGTCTGGCAGGTAGGGGAGGGTCAATTCCTGACTAGCAACTTAGCAGAGCCTTGTGGCCACACCCTGGTACTTCTACAGTTCCTGTGATTGGTAAGGAAATTGCGGCTCAGAGAGGTGGAGGCACTTGTCCGAGGTCACGCGATGAGGGGGAGACAGCGCCGGGTGGGAACCTCAGCCCAGCCTGGGCTCCTGGCTTCTGCATCTGAGGCTGGGCAGTCGGGGGCTTCCCTGGGTGTGCCGACACAAAGTAGGGCAGGCTCTGGCCGGAAGAGATGGACTCAGAGCCATTCCCAGCAGAGCCACAGAGGCCGGGGGCTGAGGCTGGGGGACCAGGAGGTGGCTTTAGCTGTGTCTAGGAGCTGACATCACTCTTGGGGCCCACAGTGACCAATCCGAATCCCGGAGATGCACCTGTGCCTTGGTGACCGCCCCCTCCCTCCGCTCCCCATCCCACCCCCGAAAATGGTGGCCTGCTCTTTCATGACTTCTCGCCTATAAAAATCTCATGGTTCAGAGACTCCAGAAATAACCAAGGTTCAGAAACCAGGAGCCTGTCACCCAGGGCAAGTCTGCCCCTACTCTGGCACTTGCAAAACTCAAAATAGGTCATGAGGGGAAACTCAAAACATGCCCATTCCTCTTCCTAGGGTTCCAGGCCGGCTCACCTGGATCACGTTGCTGTTGGAATTCTTGGAGTCGGCACTGACATAGACAGAGAAGAAGGGGGAGGTGCGGTAGTGAGAGGTGACCACCTGCAGAGTGTCCTGGAAGTTGTCTTTGTCCCAGGGCCCGGTGATGTTCCAGCCCCCTAGCTGTGGGGAGGGAGAGGGAACAGCGAGGTGATGAGGTGGCAGGGAGACCCCAGCGTGAATTCTGCTCCTGCCACTGACCAGCTCTGTGACCCTGGAGCGGTCATCTGACCTCTCTGAGTCTCAAGAGCAAATGAAAGGGATGGTCTTCATCAGAGTTTCTGACCAGCACACAGGAGACGCTGCCTGGAGCTAGACCGATCCTGAATAAGCAATCCAAGGAATCCACGTAGCAGCGGCTCTCGGGGATGGGATGGGAAGGAGACTTTTCCCGCACCCTGTTCACCGGTCGCATGCTGAATCACGTGATACGATTTCTATTAAAGCATAAATCAACTGTGCTTATGGGAGCACCATATTTTTTTAAAAACGTTGATAAAAGGGCGCCTGGGTGGCTCAGT